CCGGTTGAAACTGTCCCTGGAAATGTCCCCGTTTTGTAATATACGTTAAAAATACATCGCAAGGTGCAATAAAATGTTTCATGTCAGGAAACACTGGGTAAACAGACTGTGGTCGAGCCAGCCCCCACTTCGGAAAACACACTCAAGCCAGCCCGCACGTTGTATTGCGGTGCGCGAATATGCATTACAGTAGAGTCCTGTAAAAACTGCCTTCAAAATAAAAGCGTTTACTCGGTCAATAACAAATATACCTAAAAAACACACCAAACATATTCATATATGGAGCTTAAATTAAGAAATATGTACTATATAATGTGATCAATAATAATGTAAAACAAACTACGTATAACTACCACATTATAACTGAGTGAATGTAAAATGTAAGTATACAGTTATGAAGACATATCTGACATTTCCACTGGGTGACTAATTTCAATTGATGTTGACACCATCTCACAACACTCATAAAATAACATTACTTTCTGAAGCACAATTTAAAATGTATGCTGTTTAAAATCTCAAATTAGATCTATTGTCCATCTCTATTTAGATTATTATTTAATGGAAACCGTCCATAATCAAAGAGTCATTCGAATTCAATAACATACTTATTTCACTTCAATAAAATACTTATTTCATTTCCTTCTGTTTTTGTACAAGAATAAATAAAAAACTGTCAAATTATCAAAGACTTATTTCACTTCAGGGTGATAGCAGGACACCCCATCTTGTCACTCAGAGAGAATCAGGACAATCTGATGTAGAGTTTCAAAATAAAAGACCTTTGAAGTCTCATATATTAGCTATCATCCCTCTGTTTTTAGATAAGAATAAAACAAAATCTATCCATTATCAAAGACTTATTTCACTTCAGGGTGATACAGTAGCAGGACACCCCATCTAGTCACTCAGAGAGAATCTGGACAATCTGATGTACAGTTTCAAAATAAAAGACCTTTGTAGTCTCATATATGAGCTATCATCCTTCTGTTTGTATCCAACAGTTCAAATGTTCAAATTACATTGAACCAGAATTGTCCCCCTTTTTTCTTTAACAGTGAAGAAAATTGGATATGTTAATGATATATTGACCGCAAAACTCAAAATGTCCCCGGTTTTAATTTTGAAAATCTGGTCACCTTACTCTAGCATCGTTGTGCAGTGAAAGACCCGCATCCTGCATTAGGCACTCAATAACAACGCTAACATGTTTAGTATAAGGACAACTGTACTGAATGAGAACACCATCTGTTGGTCCACTGATCATTATGAAAGCGTATTCTCCCTAATACAGTCACAGTTCTTAGAAGCGCCACAAAAAGGTCTTTTTGAATTCAGACTCAGTGACTCACTAAAGAGAGAAAGCAGCCAAAACACTTCTGCTGGCATCCCAACACTCTGGAGCCCCTTCAAATGTGATAAACCCTACCTGTCTCTGCTTGTCGAGAGCCAGGTGAGAGTATGTTTTTATAGATGTATAGATGTGTGGTAGAATGTGTATCTTGGTATAGAAAATACATTATAATTGTTGTACTTTTCCACAGATTGTTTCTTAACATTGCATGGCCTAATAGAGCATCCAGGAATTAACCCAATAAACAAAGTAGACGGCCAGCAGGAACTAAAATGAGCAACAACAATCAATATCTGCATGGTTCCTACCTTTAACCCTTGTATGGTGTTCGGGTCTGTGGGACCCGGGGCTAACAAAAGTGTGGAAATTGTAGGTCCTGTGCACCTGTCTGGGCTGTGTGTGTGTGTGTGTGTGTGTGTGTGTGTGTGTGTGTGTGTGTGTGTGTGTGTGTGTGTGTGTGTGTGTGTGTGTGTGTGTGTGTGTGTGTGTGTGTGTGTGTGTGTGTGTGTGTGTGTGTGTGTGTGTGTGTGTGTGTGTGTGTGTGTGTGTGTGTGTGTGTCTTTTGTGTTTCTGCCCCTGCCATTCCCGCACAAGGTTGCAACATTGTTGATCAATTCAAGCACGGACACCTGTCTGCTCTCACATTCCCGCATTATGTCTTGCGGGAACCAATCTTAATTTTTTTCACATTCTATCCCATCTGCAAGTTTGGGGCGAGACACAATAAATAAAGCTTTGCCAGTTTGGGTCCTTATCACAACTGATCAAGATGGCCAAAATAATCTCTGCTCAGAGGCAGGCACGTGCAAACATAGTGGGCTTGAGCCCCTGCCCTTTTTCTTCCTCCAGAGAAAGTGCCCTTTTTTTCTACATTTTAAAAAATAAAATAAATGAATATATATCTACTGCTGTTTGCGCACAGTTTCCCTTTCCAAAAATATATTGATTGAATACAAAATAAAAAATATCAGGTGGGGAGATTAGACTGTGAAGTTCCGATGCTCTCTCCTCCCTCCCTCTCTCCACGTCTCGCGCACAGCGGTGCAGACATCGGCAGTCACTTCAGACCGACAGGTAGCAGCACCTCCCACTTTACTGTCCCAAGTTATGCCGGCTTTTCTTGGCTTGTTTGAAGGTGAGTGGTGGTGATGAACAAATGACTAAACTGCCAGTGCCTCAAGTTTACAGCTAATTAGCCAGAAGACAAAAACAAATATAGTTAACTAAGGTAGGCTACTAGCTAATGGATAAGTTAGCTCAAGGTTTAGCTATGGCAATTTATCATGGGCATGCAGGCTAATGTACTGTACTTAAGGGGAGACAGACACGAAAGGTGAATACAGTAAAATGTGTATCTAATAACGTCATCACAATCGTCACATTGATATGCAACTTAAATGCACTAATTTGCATGCAGTTACCAAGGCATTGCAGGTGAAAAGGATAAAACAAAAAACAAACATAAAAACATATCACCTCACAACTTCCCCGGATAGTTATTTACATCAAGACTTTATTTTCCCCTGAAATGTTATGTTTAAATATGCAGATTAGCTTTAAATCTATAGATGAATTCAGACATGGTATACACCATTTATGTGTGTTTTTTGGAAGTTTTCTTTCCATTAGAGTGAAAGAAAACATGGAAGCTAAATAGACCAAAATAACAAAATGTATAGTACATGAAAAAACTATCTTTTTGCCTGTAATGTCTTTAAACAGTAACTTCATAATTTTGATTGTTGGCTGCTCATTTAATAACTATTAATTGTACTAGTTTATTGTCTGCTCTTGTGCGTAGTGAATACTAAAGAAGGCCATTGTCTCTGTGTTAACTGATTATTTTGTAGAATTCTGTTGAGTATTAAACAATTGCGTGAGTGTGAGGGTATTAAAATAAATTGGTCAGTAAGTCAGAGATGTGCAACTATATTTAACTTTTTGTTTTAAAACATTTTTTTTATAAATGATTATGGGAAGTGCCCTTTTTCTCACTTGAGCTCCTGCCCCCCAAAATGTCTGTGCACGTCCCTGCTCAGAGGGCCTTGCAAATGATTTTGAAAGAGAGACAACCATTTGATGATGATGTCGAGGAAGAGGAAGATGTTTCAGAATGTGAGGATCACATTTGTGAGAATTCTGAGTCTGACAGTGACTTTGAAAAAGAGGATGAGATTGAGCATCAGCTAGTTATAAAAAAAAGACGAGCCACAGGACCAGCCGGTCAGTGGGCAAAAGACCAGTAGCACTTTAATTAATTAATGTGATCTAACAAATGTAAAATGGCAAATGTTAACCATATATTATGCTGTTTATATTGCTTGTAATTGAGATGAAGTAAACATCTGTTGAATATTTTAACATAAAATAGTTTGATTTTGTTTAATTGAAACCCAAAATGGCAGCGGGTCCACCAGACCCACGAACACTGGCTGAATAACAAAAATATGAACACCACACAAGGGTTAAATGCTGTGTATACCAACCAACAAGATTCAGCTTATTGCCTTCTCCCTCTCTTTAGCAGTTCTGTCTCTTAGTCTATTAAAAATAATACTTCCACAGAACATTCCCAACACACATGGGATGAAATTGAGTGTGAGAGCTAAATACAAGTTATTAAGATTTTACAGAGGTAGCGATCAGAATATTATATGTTTTTATTTTAATCTGTCAGTAAATCTCCAGGCTCAGCACTTTGGTGATTAGTTTTATTGTGCAGCCAATGACAGAGGCCATGTTCCTTGAGGTCAAATCTTTTGTAAGCGATGATGGCTCTCTGAATTTTAAAGCAGCATCGGTTTTGACAAATAAAGCAGCAAAAATGCCCTTTCACAAATCCCATCAACGCCAGCATGAACCTTTTGTTGTTTCTGCCATCAGAGCACTCACACTGTGTATCATCGACGCTCATTTTATATAAAAGATAAAAAGAAAAACCTCATGCTGAAACAACACTGCTAAAAACGAATGAAAGAGAACGGACTCAGCAGGCACACAGCATCTCACAAAATAGAATCAATGGGTCATGAGTGAATCATACAGGCTCCCAAAGAGTTTGGATTGTTGAGTTCATCACTCTGCAAAATCCATCAATAATGCCCTTTCATCTCTTTGCTGACATTGTCAAGCCTGAGCTTTTAAAGCTCTCCAGAACCCTACAGATCCACCTGAAGGGGAAATATTATGCTATTATTAGTTTAATTTTTGTATTTTGAGTTTCTACTAACACATCTATTTTCAAATGTTTTTTTCTCAGTAGTCATACTGTGCATATTGTCTGTATTCACTCTGTCTTTTTTTTGTGCCTGTCTCTAAGGCCACCTCCAGAAAAAACCTAGTCTACTTGGATTGTCTTGCGATAAATATTGCAAAGATTTTCTCAAGCAATTGCAGAGAATACTCAGATTTGTTTGCAACACAAACTGGGTTGTCTTTTTTCACAGTTTAAGGGTTAGGTAGACAATTCAAGAAATACCCAATTATCTCTGCACAAGCACCTACAAAGGGAGTTTTTCATGATGTCCCCGCTTTGAATCTGTTTTTAAAGGTGTATGCATCTTGTTTAAGTAGTTCTACTCTTGAATTGTGGCTTTCATTTCATTGCAGGTTGGACATTGTACTTCTGTGCATGGGGGCTTTTTACCTTCCATGACGTAGACCAGCGAGCCCACATCGCCCTCCTTGATGATACAGCTGTCCTTCCCATAGTCCACAGGGTACATGCAGTCCACAATCTCTTGGATCTGCGACAGCTCCAGGTTCTTCATGAAGTCATTGTCCAAGATGGCCTCCTTGATCAGATCCTTAGACCTGGTGAAAACAAATTATGAAAAAATTTATTCAGACGGCATTTCTGTTTCCATATAGTAGAAGGACTTAATGAGATTAGAGTGAGAGATTAGTGTAAATGTATAACCTTGAGATAGAATTGTTCTCTCAAATCCAGTGAAGCATTTTGACCAGTTCAACAGGCAAGCATTTGTATTATGTAATCTCACTCACACTGCAGAGTGGCTTTTCAACAAAAAATCACTCATTTCAACGACGTCAAGGTCAAACAGTTTTTTGTTCCCTCCAAAGGCTTAAACAAGTCAATAAAAGCTAAATCCATGCTTGATGGAAACATATTGTTCTCATTCAGGGAGCACTTCTGAAAGGCCTTCAGACTGTGGGGCCATTAGGGCATTCCACAGGTAAGTACTGTATGTTTTTCACAGGAACGAGAAAATGTAATTAACAGTAGAGCTAATGTACAGTCTTCAATTTGTACACAATTTGTACAATTTGTACACCGAGCACTGTAAGCAAGATACAGGAGACATTATGTAAAATTATCATTTCGATCGAAAAAAACACATTAGATGCTATGTAACATCTATGGAGGAGAGACATTTGTTCATCAGCGTGTGTTGACTGCAGGTGCCTGGCGCAGCAGAGGTGGAAAACGGCGAAGAGACGGCAGAGAAATCGGAGGCGGACTTGACTCTAAAAAGTGAGAATCAGAATCAGAATACCTTTATTAGTCCCACAGAGGGGAAATTTGCATCGTTACAGCTGGAAAGAGCCACCGACAGCTTAATGTTACCTATGTTAAGAAAAAAGTATTAAGTTATGATATAATAGAAAAAATATAATATAAAAAAAAAGAAAAGTAAAAGAAAAAGACAAAATACTTTCCAAAATACAAATCCTGTAACAGTTCTTAGAATTTAGCAGCCAGGTATATATTACACAGTTATTAATGGCTTATAATGTAATGTATATATTGCACATATAGCACATATTGCACGTATGGTAGTAAAGATAATTGGTTCACTGAAGCACTTCCTCAGTGGAGTCAGAGTTGCTCAGTCCAGTTTGTGTGGCCAGTTTTGAAAACAAAAAGGTTAAAAATATGATCCAGGGTTAATGCAACAAGTAGTCGCTTCCTCAGAAGCTACACTTGTATTCCTTAAAGCTCTCTCCATCCCCAGTGCTTTTGCAGTACGATTCTAGGTCTATTTTTTTTCGCTCTGTGCCCTTTTCAGAAACGTATTTATGGGTGCATTGTTGGCGCTGATCACCTGAGGAGCTTAAAGTTAAAAGGGCAAATAAACTGGAAGGCATTTATAAAGCTGTTCCACCACAACACACAGGCTCCTCCGCCCTCCTGCCAGCCTACACAAACAACACAGCTACACAAACACGCTCTAAACTTTATTATCTGCCATGATAAAATATCGACATAGCCCAGGGTGTCTTTTGTTTAACTATGCGCTTGTTTATGTTTTTAAAACAATCCCCTCTCCCTGTTCATCTGAATCTATTTATATGCAGTGTCTTCGAATTCTTCAAGGAGCTTATTTTGAACGTTTAAGGTCACACCAATGCTTCTCCATCAAATCTGGAGACCCATTTATCACTTTTGTGATTGATGTGATCTGTGATACTCTTTCTCCTTCAAAGAAAAACTGCCAAAGCTGTGAAGGATGCACAAAGGATGCTCATCTTAGCTCGCATACATTCTTAACCTTGGCAAGCATCTACAGATCATCATTTTCATCAGCTGAGTGATTTGTTTCTCAAATAGCACGCAAACAGATTCCAAAAACAAGGTTCTCATAAGATGTGTTTTGCATTCAACAATTTGAATAATTTTCAATTACAGTTTCAAGGTTGGTGGATTCCCAAAAGGTATTGCTTTTACTTTGACAGCAGAGATAATTGTGAATGAGAGTGAGGAGCTAAATTACTGGAGACCATTAGCTTGTTGTGTCAATCTATTGAGAAAACACAGCTTATGTACTTTGGATTTGTACCCGGTCAGAAATCCTAGTATATTGAGTTTTTGCCATTTATATGCCTCTAGACAAACATTTGTGGACATGCCTTTTCTGCCTTTATTTTAGGAAACTCCTTTGTCTGGCATTTATAGATATGAAAAAGATGAAAGCGACAGTGAATCCTCCAATGTCTCAGGACTTTTTTTTATTTGAACCAGGTTGATCCAGAGGATTTTTGTTAGATATGTTTTATACCGCCTTTGAGTGTCAGAACAAGTCTCCTGGGAATTGAGTGAGGAATGAGGTGTTGCACCTATTTTAAAATTCCCATCCTGCAATCCATGTTCTTTCCAAACTGCTCTCTTTTTCAGCAGAGACATTAGGAAAACAATGTGTTGATCCTTATGATGCTAACTGGGTTAATGATGCTTTATAAAGGGCTATAATTCCCTAAACGAACTTGAACAAATAGGAAATCCATTATTTTCCGAAGCTGACCTCCAGTCCTCTGGAAATGTGCCTCATTGACCCTCTCTCTGTGGCTTTACTCCCGGGAGATCTCTGGACTTCTCAACCCTAAACTGGACCCCCCGACTACAGCCTCTGATAGCAACATCTTCTAACCAGACCCTTGTAAAAACATCTGCCTTCCTCTCCTTTGTGAGGATGATATATTTGCCGTCATCCACTAGTGAAGTTTAGAGCTGAGCAAGTTCAGCCTTCCTTAAAAGGAGAAAATATGCTCTTTTTAGGAGGAAAAAAAGGAGAGGGGTGGCAAAAAAAGTGGGAGAGGCTAACAGGAATAAGAGGCATATGGAGGGAGAGGGATGGATAGCGTACGTGTAAGGAATGCTCTATGGGTTTTGTAATAAAGATAAATTGGTTGAGAATGAAAGAAAAATCTAAACATTTAGCCAAATCCAACAGGAATTATCGCTACACTTCCTTAACCAAAACAAAATAAAAAGGTAATGGGGTTGTTTTTATCCCATGAGGAAAGTTGGGAATTTATTAAATAAGAAATAAGATAACTTTTTTATTTTCTTAATTGAGCAATAACAAACGTTAGAACAAAATAACTTTAACTCAAATGGATTGTAATAGATGTCCAAACTAAATAAATAATACTGATTGCTAATAAGAGAACACTGCTCAAACACACTCAAGTAATTTGCATTCAACAGCCTGCAGCTTTCCAATCATGTTTGTTATTATGTTTATGGTTATTTTCAAAAAGGAAATATGAGCTAAATGTCATTCTGTGTGAAAGGGGTGGCGGATTTACAGCAGGAAATTTAAGCTGTAGTTTAAAGTCTTTGAGTTCAAACAAGCTCTTGGTAAAAAGCTGTTCATTTTTCATTTCCATAATGAAATGTTCCATTCAGCTTCCCTGTGGGCTTTATCATCACAATCATGCAATCGTTCAAACCCCCATTACTCAAAACTTTCTTTTGTGTTTGATAATACTGTCAAATCTAAAACTAACCATTGTTACTGACAATTAATTGTGTTAAAACTGAGACATCAAACTCTTCATGGAGAGAAATGTCTACATGCGGGACAAAGTCGATCATTTTGGTCGTTTTTCTTGCATAAGACTGAGCAACTCAAGAAAACATCGGAAATACTTTTTAATGGAAAAAGTCCCATATAGTGAAAGTGTACTATAATACAAGTGACCACTGTCGTGTTTACCTAATATGCCATTCCAAAACCAGTGTCCAGCCAAAGTCTAATGCTTATTTACGACAGAGAGACAAACAAAACAAACACCACAAATAATGTTGCTTTCTTTGTTATTTCGCCCAGAGCTGACAGGTGTAACATAAACTAATGGTCTTTCGTCCTCGGATAAATAATCCCTGTTCCTTTTGAATCTTCTTTGATGAAATCCTTGGAGCTTTGTTTGTTTGTATGACGAGAGAATAATGAAATTCATGTCTGACACATCTGATCTCTCTGCAAACTCTTAAAACACCAACATGAGCATACTCTCCAATCCTGATGTAATCCTGATGTTTTTAATATGTCTATTCCAATGTGCTTGGAGAATTAAGAGAAGACATTCTTCCTGTCAACCGAGTGTATTGATTAATACTAAGTCAACCTTCACGCTTAAACCGAACAGATAGCCAGATTATTTCACAGCAGGAGATCATTTAAGTGCCAATTTCAGTTTGAGACGTCAGGTTGCAAACGGAGCTCAGTAGCAGAGAGACGCTTGGTGGAGAGTTTGAAAAGAAGAGAGCTCTAGACAAATCACAAGATAAACATGCCCGAGAGCCTGTTAAGACTGCCTGTCACACAACCACAGCTTGTATAAAATAGCCACTGGTACATTACACAGAGCTGCCAACACCTGCTCTCTGAAACTATAATTCCCATCACTGGATGACATTTGATTTTCCTGTTAGGCTGTGATCAGGCTTATCGACGTCCAGCCTTTTATCGCTGCCCTGCAGAGAAAATCCTATCGATAACTGTCACTAATTAATTTAATTAGTGACATTTGTTGTGTGTGTGTTCATGTGCGTGTGTGTGTGTGTATGTGTGTGTGTGTGTGTGTGTGTGTGTGTGTGTGTGTGTGCGTGTGTGTGCGTGCGTGCGTGCGTGCGTGTGAGCATCCCTTCAGAAAGTGCTACAGGTGCCATACCTGCTGCGCCACACTTAACATTACGCACCGGCATCAGGTGTCAAAGGGTGAATCATATCAATATGTTTAGCAACTGCCAATCCAACAATAATAACATTATCGTTATCCAAAGGAAATATTGTGCGTTTGTAGTTCGGACACCTACTGTGGGCTTTTGGGGTTGAAAGGTAGGGTGACTTGGCTAAGATCCTGGATGTCGAAGGCGGTGGGTTCGGCCGAGATCGCCTGCCTCTTGGTACGCTGCTGCTCGTGCAGCTCGGTCTGCTTGACGACCTGCTGGGTCGCCGGTTTAATAACGGAGCGGTATTTGTCCAGCTCGGTCTGTAGTCTCTGTATAAGCTCGTCTTTCTGGTCGAGCTCCAGCTCCAGCTCGTCGATGAGCGCGTCCCTTTGGCGCAGCTCCTCGATCTTCTCCTGGAGCGCGTACTGGAGGTCGCGCAAGGTGCCCATTTCGGGTGGCGACAGAGCGACTTCCCAGTAAGTTTATCGAAAGGTATGCAGTCTAGTCTGTATCTCCTCTCCTCTACCACGGTGCTCATAAACTTTATCCGGCATGAACAGCTTCAGATGATGCAGCCCCGGTCTCTCCTGAGGGGGAATCCTCTCCTCTGTTCTGTCCAAAGCGGATGTTGGGAATTTACGCGAAGGTATGTTCACTGGTTGACACGATAGCCAAGGTGAGCCCGCGTCTGAGCCACTATCACGCAAAGTTTGCCCTCTCTCTCCCCTTTTCTCTCTCGTTCTCTCGCTCGCTCTCTCCCTCCCTCGGCGGAGTGACAGCGGAGGACAGTCCTCCCCGAGTGCGTCAGGCTGCGACCCAGAGAGAGTGCATGGTGAGGAGGGCGCCTACAGGAATCTGTGGCACAGTGCAGTCTGCCACACTCGTCTCACATGAATAATGGACTCCGTGAGAGAGCCACTGCTCGGAAAAGCATGTCATCGTACCTCGTCAGATCACCCCGAGACTGCTCAATTACAAATAGATGAGCACTGGAGCCCTAAAGGAAGTTGAATGTGATGGAAACGTAATGACCCTCAGTGTTCAAATAAACAATGCGTGTTTATATCTTTTGGGGAAGAAGGCAGATTGCATTGTGTATTTTTGTCCTATATGGACTAAAGTGCTGTGAAATGTTCAAGAGAAAATAATAATGTTCTCAAATACCTGCTGGCAACTATTAATTTCGTGACAGATTGAATAGAGGAGCAGCAAGTGAAGGTGCTAAAGGCGAAGAATCGTACAGATTGTCAAAGAGCAGCTGCAGACGTGAATCTGCCAAAATTACTGAGGCTCAAGGCAGCAGCTCCTCAGTGACAATCCTCATTTGATCTTGTTTTGTGTGTTGACTCTGAGCAAGGCTGGTGTCACTCACTCCACATTATTCCAATGAGTCATCGGAAGCTCAGCGAACAGCTTTTGGCCTCACGTGCTCTGGACACATTCAGGAGGAGGATAAACTGCCAAGGACAATCTGATAGGATGAGGAGCTACAATAGCAATTACTGTGCTGAATGAGTGGGGACTCTCCAGCTTACAGCGAGGACACATAATATGTTGGTTGTCTTCGGCTGTAAGGATAGGTGTTTCGGTGTGGCAGTAAATAATAGCATATTTGTCCTGACAGAAAACATGTAAACAACGCTGTAGACAGGAAGTTGGTCTAATTGTGGATCACAGATGCCCTCTTGTGGTGGGAAAAAGCATCAACGCAGGCATGTTTCTGCTTGGCAAACATGTCCAACAGTTAATGATGAGTTTCTCTTTTAAATGACTGAAAGCTATAGCTTTTACTCTGCAATTAATTATATCATTGCAAATATACTGACATGCAAGTGACAACAAATGAACACCAGCATCCTGCTAATAGAGCAAATACATATTGGAAATGTCAGCTTTCTGCAAGACTTTAAATGTGATAAAGCTACTGTGAGGAACACATAATAAATCTTTATATTTCCTTCCTAAACAGAGTAGTTTTATTGGGCTCCACTCTGAAAATGTTAATGATGCCTAGGCAGCCAACTAAACACCATATTTTGTTCTCCTTTTATCCCTGTCAGGGGAAGGGCACAGGGCACCCAGCCTGAGCAGCAGCACATTTTCCCTTCATGTCAGGAAACTGCAGGTGCCCAGAGACTTCAGGTTCTGTCCTGTCCAGTGATACATCCCCACATCCTCCCATCATCAAAAGGCCCTCCCACTGCCCTTCAAAGCACCTCTGCGCTTTAAATTTCACCTCTCTAACCATCTAGCTCAGCCCTTTTCCTATGCAGATCAATAGAAACAGGATCCGAGGCTTCATGCTGCGGTAATCCGATGAGCAGGGTGGGCCGCCGGCTGGTGCTACGTCCTGACTCTAATGGGGGTCACACCGTATCTGAACCCGCAGCGGCCCAGCGGGCAGGTGGACCCCTCCTCCATTCTCACAAAAAGCAATCACGTCATCTCACCGGTACTTTAAAAAAAAAAAAATACAAACAGGTTTACTTCTATTTCACTGCACATTGTATGGCCATGTGCAATTAGCCTGCTGTCCACTGAAAGCCCATTCAAGCACTAATAGTGACTCATCAAAAGACCCTGTCAGTTTTCAGAATGAACCCTCATGAGAAAGGCTGAGAATGGATTATTAATATTTGTCTTGGGTTAGCTTGTTAGTCGTTTTTTCTCAATGAACCTGGGTCATTCATGACGTTCATGCTTCATTCACATTTTATTGCATTTTCCTTGCCCGAGGACTTCTTCTGGACTTGTATTCTTGTTTGAAGGCTCACTGATCATCAGTTAATGAGGACCTGCCCTGTCTGCAGTTCATTAATGCAAATGAGGAGTGGAAATTGTCTAGCCATCTTAATAAAGTTAACCTCATTGTCTATTGAATTAATTGAGTCAGCAGTGTAGTTTCTGCCTGTGTGTGTGTATGATTATAGCAACTAATTTGTTCTGATGGGGTTGTTATAATGTAAATGGAGATTAAAAGAAATGTAAATCTGAGGACAAAGAGTGTCAAACTTTTTTGCTGTAAGTAATTAACGCAAAATTAAATTGAATAGACTCAGACAAAGTCTGACAAACTAAGAGATTATTATTGAATGTTCAGAACTTGTGAAAACTCAAAATCAGGATAACCATACAGTGAAGCTAAAACGAGCACCTAAAGGTGATGAAGGAAGCATATGGTCAAACAAAGCGTTTTCTAATGGAGTATTAAATATCCTCAGACATGCACTTCGGGTCCTCAGCGTCCAGCTACTAAAAGCCAATAATGCATCGCACTTCCTCCTGTCTGAGCCCCCTGGGACTGCCATGATGGATCTGATCAATTAGGAGCTCTTTCTGAAGCTCGCCTTGGAGCTGCGTCATCGGACACAAGAATGAAAGTGCTCGTCCATTCATGGCAAACGACTCACTCTCATTTAGAAAAAAAGGACAAGAAAAGGGAGAGAACAGACATAAATAAATGCTTTTTGGACATATCAATCAATGTTTATTTATATAGCCCAATATCACAAATGTTACATTTGTCTCAGTGGACTTTACAGTTTGTACAAAATATCAGTATGACAATACGACACCCTCTGTCCTTAGACCCTCACATCGGACACTGAAGTGTCACAACAACATGTGAAGTTACTGTCATCACATTCAGAGATAGTTGTGTTTTAGATGTAGTCTACACCATGCATGGCAAACTATTATTGATTCTGGTAGTGACGAGAAAACACTTTTAGGGTTTGAAGATGGTACACAACGCTGGCACATGTGTGTAATAGAGCATTAAAGTGAAAAAGCTGGCTAAGTCTTACCAGTCGGACTTGGCATATTTCCGAAACGCCTGCCTTGACAGGTCCTGGTGCGTTTGAGGCTCCGCGGAGATGCCCTGCGCCCTGCGGGTCCTCGGTCCAATAAGTTCAGCACTGGGCAAAACAGACTGATATTTGTGTAATTTCCTCTTCAGTTCTTGAATATCGTCTTCCCTGTCCGCCAGACGCCTTTCCAAGTCCCGTATCCTCTCCTCCTTTAGCAGCAGGATCTTGGCAAAGTCGTCCTCCAGGTCGCTCATGTTGAACGGTAAACTTTGACGCGATTCCTCGAACACAACAAAAAAAACGATTAAACTCCCAGTACTCGCACAGGTTGTGAAGACGGACACAAATCCCCCTCTAAATACGCGCAGAGTGATGAGGCTCCGAGGATCCCCTTCACTGCCCACTTGTTTATTTCAGGAGAAAGGAGCAAAGCAGTGTTTAAAGCCGGGGAGCGGACGGCAGAGAGAGCAGCGCTACGCTACAGTCCAGCAAACCTCCGGGGAGCTGCTGATGATCCTTCATTGAGAAACCAATTACAGCAGCTCTTCCTCTCCGAGGACGCAGGCAGGCCGTCAAACTGGGCACTAAAGAGCTGAGACAACTCCTGTATAGTTCACCGCCTCTCACGCTGCAAACACACTACAGAGAAGCCCAGCGCCGGTGCTGCCTCTGCTGCTGCTGTCAGATATGTGTTTACCATCATCGGCACAATCCTGATCCCCCTAAACACCCACATCACCTCCCCCGACCTATTGGAAAATCAATTGTCCCGCACTCCATTCACAGGACACTGCACTGGACTATATTGTTTGCATCGGTCACATGGTGCAAGCTCACATCAGTAAGTGGAAAGTAATAATGGAAATAGCCTTTATATAGACTGGAGGTTGCACTTCTGTATTGATGTGGAGATGAATTTATCTCTGGATCATTGCACATTGTTTTAATCAAGGTGATTGTGGGATTGATCCAACCTATTTCAATCAAATCTTCTGAATAATCTAGTGTACATAGTGTGAAGAGGAGAGTTCATTATTTACCTAAAGGTTGTGAAGTTACTACACATTAGATTTGAAAACTAGAATTCAACAACAAATTGGATGATTCAAAGTTGCAGATTTAAAAAAAAAGAGTAGCTGTTATATCCGTCCAACATTAGGAGAAGTTAATTACTCAATGGATTCAGAGTCTGTCAAATTCCTGATTAGAATAATCAGGAATAATAACTTTGGCAACACGCTCATCACTTTCATCCTCAGTGCTGTGCGGACTGAAGAGAGTTCAGTAATAAATCATCACTTCTCCTGCTCTAATATTAATCTCCAAACCCAGGCAGTCATTTATATTCATCATTTTTCATTCTGCTGCCTAAATCTGTTTCAACTCAATGAATTCATTGGGGGGGGGTGTTTCATTAAGATTCAGAGTTAAAAATAGTGTGAACAGATCATCCCTTTGCTGGTGAACCTGAACATCTCTCACCCTTGTCTATTGCTTGCTTTCTTATTATTCAAGCTTGTTTGGATATGTACGGATGCTTGCTGGAAAACGTAGCTGTATGTGTCCTCTTGCTGAGTTTTACTACACATCATTTGACATTTTATTTTCCCATTTCACCTTGCTGCTCTTCCAAATGCATCTTGGATGAGAATATTACCATAATTCGTTGTAAACCCTCATCGTCTCCCATATGAGACTCGTGACAACCAGTGTTAGTGTCGAGAGTTATCATGTGTAGATTGCAGTGGTTCTCATAATGAAACACATATGATCCACTTATTTACTGCTGCTTCTCTCTGCCAGTGTGTTACATGTCTCACAGTTATGGAGAGCAGTAAGGTGAACGCAATCAGCATTCAAAGACAAGGTGAGGACTCGGGTTGTGCTGTTATCAATGTAGCAAACAGGAATCGATTAATTATGTATGCAGCAGCAGACACTGTGCCCATAATGACAGTGGTAAATTCA